TTTACTCATTGGCAATATTTTTTGTATTTAGTTATTGGGAATATTTTTACAAATTTTCTTTTTACTCGTTGGCAATATTTCTTTTATTCTTCTATTTCTTTATCAGTAGCATTTTTCTTACTTTTCTATTTACCTGCTAGTAATATTTCTTCAGTCATTTGCTATTTACTTATTAGCAATATTTTACCTATTTTTCTCTTTCTTTATTAGCAACACTTGTCCCATCTTTCTATTTACCTATTATTATTAATTATTCACCGATAAACATGTTCCAAAATAATTCTCTATTTATTCAACAAATACTTCATCTACAGGCAATCAATCTCCATAAAGGGTTACCGAAAAGCGATTAGAATTAAGGCAGAAATTGCAAACAATTCTCTTAGAACAAAGAGCGAGATGTTAATTCACGTGGTTGCGGCCTAAGGGATATTCTAATTCGCGTAGAAATCGGGGAAAAACCGAGCAGCTTAGTATTAAGTGCATTAGATTCTCACACTTGGACACGCAAATTTTCGGTAGCGTGGCGGGTAAAAGCAACCCCGCTGGGACATTCGTTCGAGCTCGTTGACACCCTCCTACCGATTCCCTGATATATGACAGTATGGCCTCCTAACTTCTCTCCTACGGTGCAATTCTCCCTACCTTCCTCTTCGACATCCCTTTTCGCCTCTTCATCCTATAATATCACTCCTTTGCAAATCTCCCTTGAGTAAATAATATCGTACATTTCTACGTATTTTCTTCTCTATAGTAATAAGATATAATTGTAGTTTTTAGTTAGTATTTAGTTGTATCCAGTGTAATTATAATTTTCTTCTGGTTTCAATTTTTAATTTTCAATCTTCTTTCTTGCTACTTTATTCTAATTTGAGAGAAATCGATTTCTTTGATATTGTTTAGCTTCATTTTTGCCTGGGAATTGAGGAGAGCAATTTGGGCATTTCCCATTTTTAATTCAAAAATTTAAAGAATTATTAGGAAATAACTGTTTCAAGTTTTTATTGTATAATTGTCAATCGTATGGTGAAGATAATTAAAAATCCTACTGAGAAAATCTTTTCACTTTTGAGACAAAGTATTTCATCTTTCTCGTATTCGCTTCTTTATCAAGTCTCTCCCTTCTTATTTCATAGCTCTCCCTCATTTCTTCCGCAATACAACGACTGTTTAAAATTTCTATTGAGCATATCTCAATCACATACCAAAGAGGCAGCAATTTCTTACAGAAAAACCCTTTTCTAAAATCTTTTCACTTTGAGACAAAGCATTTCATCCTTCTCGTATTCTCTTCTTTACGAAGTCTCTCCCTTCTCGTTCCACAGCTCTCCCTCACTTCTTCCTCAATAAAACGACTGTTCAAAATTTCTGCCGAGTAATTCTCAATCACATACCAAAGAGACAGCAACTTCTTACTGGAAAAACTCTCTCCTAAAATCTTTTCACTTTGAGACAAAGTATTTCATCCTCGTATTCTCCTCTCTCCACCCTGTCTCTCCCTTCTTATTTCACAGCTCTCCCTCACTTCTTCCTCCTCGTCAACGAACCTCAGCCCGTTCAAAGAATAGGGTGACTTCGATTCTATGGGGTTAAACGATCGTTTAAGCGTGGCCCGGATTACACCGATCCTCGGCCTCCTTAATCTCGGATTACAACGGCAGCCCTCTCTTCAAGCTTTGACCGTCTAATCCAGGGATTTTCGAAGGCGTAGCCACCATCGTTATTTGTCCTCGAGCGGAAAACAAGCGGAATTCGTTTTCTGCTTAGAACGTGACACACTCTACTTTAATTACTATCTACGTCAACGTTTTATTGTTTTTATCTCACGACCACGTGTTATCGCGAATTAAGAAGGCGGCATTGAAGCAATTGAACACAAGATCGTTATGATATTATGTAATTTAGCATAATCAGTAACTGTGATAAAGTCTACTAGGAATTTTCCTCGTTTCTGTGTATCGGAGGAATATTTGCAACGAAATAGGAAAATGTTTATTTAAATATTTAGAATGACTCTTCTTCTTTATTTGTGGATCTTCTGATCTGTTTCTTTGTTTGCAGCTGTAAAGTAATCAAACATTACACATCAACTTGTTCAATCGTTGCTCTTGCTCATCCAAGAGCAATTCAATTACAGATACATTAGTAAGTAATAAACGAACAATTAACCTAACTTAATTCTCAAAAGAAAAATATGACAAATTATCTTCACTTTTCCAAATTACATTCCTTATATCTAACGAACCTACTGAAACAATTTAATTATGCCCATAATAATTCAAACATAGACTTTTTTCTGATTAGAAAGAAAAAAACGTGCGTTTATGAGGATGAGTTCAAACTGTTCTGAGTTTTACGTGATAGCTATCGGTACAATATTCTTACGTTAAAGAAGAAAAGGTGTTTTCTGTCTGTTGGTTCGCAGAAAAGGAAGAATTTTGACTGTGATTTTTCTGCTAACAGCTACTACTCAATAACATTCGGAACACTTTTCAAAAGGCTGTGTAAATTGTTCATTCGACACCCTGCGTAGACGAGATACGATTATCGAATGGAATCCAGGGGAACAGGAAGAACACCCGGTGCGAAGACACCGTCGCTTACGTTCAGAATGAAGCAACACACTTGCTTACATTTCACGAGCAAATACTGTGCGTCATTTCTTTCTTTCCCCGTGAAAGATAAGGTGACGATGATTAATTCTCGATCGGAGGAAAATAAAGTTTGTCTTAACAGTTGGTCATATTTTTTTTATTTCTTTTTTGCTTTAAAGAGAATTGATGTTTCTGTAACTTGGAGGCTGCCCCAACTCTAGTTTCTTCCATTTCTTCTTTTAAACGGATGCATTTTCTAAATCAACATTTCTTCTTTGAAACTATTCTTCGAAGAAGTATTTCTTCTCGACAATTTTTCTCTGAAAGATACTCTTCTTCTTTAATTTTCTTTTCTTTTATATTCTTCTTCTTCTTTCAGAATATTCTTCTCAATATTGTTAAAACATTCTCTTCACTCTTGTTCACTAGACTTCCTCGACTTTTTTCATTTTTCTTCCACTTTCTGCAATTTCTGTCTGAAGCTGGATATTCCTCTTCAAACTTCTTCTTCTTCTTCTTCTCTACGATATTAAAACAGCCTCCTTTCTTCTGACTCTTCACTCTTGCTATTCCCCAAATTTTCTCAATTCCTGCAATTCTCTTCAATTTTCTTCCACAGAATACTCCTCTTCTTTCCCCCAAAGAAACATCCTCTTTTTCTCTATCTCTTCACTCTCGTTATTCCCCAAATTTCCTCAATTTCTGCAATTCCTCCTGCACTTCCAAAAATCTGACTTAAACCTGAATATTTTTCTTCAATCTTCTTTCACAAAATACTCCTCTTCTTTCCCCCAAAGAAACATCCTCTTTTTCTCTATCTCTTCACTCTCCTCACTCTCCGAATTTCCACAATTTTTGCAATTTCTCCTCCACTCCCCAAAATCTTCCTTAAACCTCAATATTCCTCTTCGATATTCTTCTCCCAATACTCTCCCGCAAAGTGCTCTTCTTCGTTCCTCCAAATATTCTTCCTGACACACAGTTAAAACATCCTCATCACTCTCCATACTCCCCGAATTTCCACAATTTCTGCAATTCCTCCTCCATTTCCCAAAATCTGACCTGAAGAGAATCCTGGATACATTCAGGCGTGCAGACTGTTGCCCACGGGTGGTCCTGTATATCCCAATGTTTGCCCACGTCATTGTTGCGTCTCTGACACTCGATGCGTTCCTTTCCCTGTTTAAAAACCGTTTAGCCCCTAATAGACGTCGTTTCTGGCTACCTCCGAGCGTCTTTCCTCCATGATTGTCGAACTTGGTGACTTCAGGTGGCCCGACGAGGAGGATCCTCTTGCTCCACGGGACGCAAAACACCCCGGAGTGCGTTGACTCGCTGATATATGGATCGTTTACGATCACGTACCTCGTGTACACACACGTTCAATATCCAGACTTTCGTTCGTTGTTCGCGATAAAAGGGAGAGACTGGCGGAGTCGTTCTCTCGTTATAAGAGTTCTCGCCGAGGAAATATTTTCCGAACGACAGAAAAAGAAAGAGGGGAAGTGGAGGAGGAGAGAATGTTCTGAAGATTTACACTGGTAAATCTTCGACACCTTTTTATTCCGCTTCGAACACGAAGTGAGAGTAACGAACGAATTCTGCGAAGAAGAATTGCACCGTATCTCTTCCCTTCTATTTTCCAATTAAATTCTTCTCGTACACTTGTAATGTTCCATGACAAATAAGAATAATTTATATCAACGTTAAATTTGATAAATATTTCATTAATAAGATACTTAAGTAGTTCTTAATCTTTAGATACAGAACGGCTGGTTGCACGCTAAAATCTTTCTCGTACGCAAACGAAATTTTCTATTTTATTAAATTTGAATCATTTTATAAATTCTATAAAATTACAGAAATATATCGCGATTAAAATAAGAAACATATTTGTAAGGAGGAGAATTTGAGAGGAGAATTTCTAAAGTCCGGTTGAAACAAGAGACATCTAAAAGCTGGATCGTCGATTCAACAAATTCGTCGACTGATATAACAATAATTATTTTTTTTTTATTCTTCTTCAATAGTTACAAAGTTAATCGTACAACTAAAGCTTCTTCTGTGGCCAGAGAGCAAGAGTCTGAACAATTACACCTGGTAGATCGGCGCGCCTATGATGTTACCACCGGGACCATAATTGCACGCCACGTAGTATCTTTTCCATTGATCGTTTTGATACACGATTTTACCGCAACCAATCTTATTCGTGTTAGCCCATACTAATTGCGTGTAGTGTCCAACGTTGTTGCCATTTCTGTGGAAAAAAAAAAAGATTAGTTTAAAAGGACATGTTAAAAGACTTTGATAATATTGAAATAGAATTTCGATTAGTAAAAGATTAGGAGACGAACGTACGTGAATCTTGAAACCTGGTTTCTGTCCATCTGTGCCACTTCGTCATACCACATTTTGGTTATGTCTGTTGGTGTCGTGTTCACTGTTCCTGTGGTCATCGTCATGGCGGCGTTTTGACCGGTGTAGAATCGATCTGAAATATCGACGAAATAGAAGAATTTGGGTTTCGATGGTTTAAGGCTTTCACGGTTCGGATAGCGTAACTATCAAGAAAAGAATTTGGGTTCTGAAGATTTAAGGCTTTCTCGACCCGGATAGCATAATTTTTAAAAGAAAAGAAGAATGAAAGAAGAAATGAGTTTGGGTTTTAAAAAGATTTAAGGCTTTCAAGGATTGAGCATAATTATTAAAAAAAGAATTCAAGAAAAATGAATTTGGGTTTTAAAAAGATTTAAGGGCTCAAATGGCAAAATAATTTGTGTCTTAAAGATTTAAGGCTTTCATGACCTGGATAGCATAATTTTTAAAGAAGTAATGAATTTGGGTTTTAAGGATTTAAGGGTTTCACGGATGAAACGTAATTATTATTATTATTGAGGCTTTTGAATGAAAGCCATGTCCCGATGAAGAGACTATTCCGAAATTTCCTAAGCACATTTTTTAATTTCTCAGCTGAACAATTAAAATCCTTCGCTGATTGTTAAGCGACGAAAAAAAAAAAAGATCATTACCAATATGTCTTTGAAACGTCAAAATACTCTCTCCATAAGAATTTCTATTTCCATCAACGTAGAATCGATTAGGAACAGAATTAAAAAATTAAGAATTTCTTTTTTCAAACGAATTCTAAGAGAAAACAGCTATTTTACCATCGTTTCTGCAAGCATCGTGACCGAAAGTACACTGATTGACCCATCTCTGTGCGACGTAAGCTAGATTATTGTCCCATGTCTAAAAGTAAATTGTAATTTTCCAAGAAACTGTTCGACGAAGGTAACAAATATCTATTAAGTAGAAAATGTATTTGTTGAATAAACGTAATTACGATAGTTTGCATGTTTTTCGCAGGAGGTTGAGGTCCTGGGCTTCCCCTTCCCTCTAAACCACTAGCCACGCGTCTCCGGAAATCATTGTGTGCCTTAACCATTTCGTTCTTCTCAGCGTCTGAGAATGCAACCGCCATTACTTTACCGCAATTCCGTGATGGATTTGGATCCTGATGGAAATTTGTGGAAACAATTCTTTTACAGAGTTATCACGATCATTTCCTTTCTAACTATAACGATAATTACGAGAGTGTTTAAAAAAAAAAAGTGTAAACTATTTTCTGTAATAATTATTACATACTGAACAACGTTTTGTAAAAGAAACGAAGCACTTTTTGTATCGTTATTGTTACCGAGTGTGCAACAATTATAAATGGAATTATAAGTCACGAAAGAAAATGAAGTAAAATAGAGAAAATCAGAAATCAAGTCGAATCAAAAAGAAGAAGACAGAAATCAAAAGGAAAAATCAGAAATCGAGTCAAGTCAAAAAGAAGAAATCAGAAATCAAGTCGAATGAAAAAGAAAAAATCAGAAATCAAGACAAATCGAAAAGAAGAAATCAGAAATCAAGACAAATGAAAAAGAAGAAATCAAAAATCAAGACGAATCAGAAATCAAGTCAAATCGAAAAGAAAAAGTCAGAAATCAAGTCAAGTCAAATTTTAAATAATTTTGTGTAATTATATTATTGAAATAAGCGATATATTGGTAAAAATGGTTACGTTAGATTATTATTTTTTACACTTACCTTGTATTTGCACAAAGTGTGCACAGCACCTGAGCCGGTGCATCTATTATTGTTGCAGTCGATTGCATTGCAAGCCACTGAAAATGCAGCAACAATGGTAAAACACAGAAGTCTCTTCATGATCGCGGTTTTGTTTTTTTGCAAACACAACCTGCAACCGTATGCGGGATACGAATGCGTACCGTAAACGAACGCGGTCGTATTTATTAGCCGCCTTATCAGACACACGTAGAAACAGCTAATTTTGCGGTTGATTAGGTTTTCCTCCTCCCCCTTTCTTCACCGCGCCTTGCTTTTACCCTTCGGATTATCGAGGTTTTTTTACGCTTTCCGTGACACTACTCACGGGGTTTACCGAACCTTTGATTCACCTGATCGGAACGATACTGATTTTGAAATCTCTGCATTTTTTAATTTACGAACTTTTGAGTTCTTGAATTTCTTCATTTCTGAGTCACTGAGTTCTTGAAGTTTCGAATTTGCGAGCTTTCGAGCATTCGAATTTTAAAATTTCCGAGTTTTTGACTTTGTGAATTTTTAAATTTGCGAGCTTTCGAGCATTCGAGTTTTAAAATTTCTGAATTTCTGAATTTTTGAGGTTTAGAATATTCGAATTTTTTAATTTCTGAGTTTTTGAATTCGCGAATTTTCACATTTGCGAGCTTTTGGGCATTCGAATTTTTAAATTTGCGAGCTTTCGAGCATTCGAATTTTAAAATTTCTGAGTTTCTGAATTTTTGAGGTTTAGAATATTCGAATTTTTTAATTTCTGAGTTTTTGAATTCGCGAATTTTCACATTTGCGAGCTTTTGGGCATTCGAATTTTTAAATTTGCGAGCTTTCGAGCATTCGAATTTTAAAATTTCTGAGTTTCTGAATTTTTGAGGTATTCCGAATTTTTCAACGCTTAGTCTTAAATTTCTCAATTTCACAATTTTTGTAATTTTCAATCTTTTAATTTTTTAATGACATCATAATTTGAACATCTCACAGACACCTATCGCGCCTAATTAATACTCCTTTTATTAACATTTCTCCACGAACTAAAATACAACACGTTTTCACTTCCCATTTTCGCAATATCGATCCAAAGGAAGGTACATATTTTTCATCATTTTTTTCCCTGTCTTGATGAACTCATTCATTACGCAAGTTAATTACAGTCTCTTGTTCAATAACTCCGCGAGACATATTGTTCTGTTGTGCAGTTGTTAGTGTATAACATGTATATATATTACACCTTACAAGTGGAAGAAATACAGCGATGCGTTGTTAAAGCATAACTTCGAGTAGCTTATCGCTAAATTTTCAAACTAAATGAATATTTATGATGCTTTGTCGTTGCATTGCTAATTATCGGATTACTCGTTCGAAAGTCGTTACATTTTCTCTACCTCAACTATGCAATTATTCCATAATGTTTTCGACTATGATTATTCTTCATTACCATACGTTGACTTTCACAGTTGACGAAATCAAATTTATTCCAGCGATAAATTTGCAAACAACGAGATTCCATTATAATTTACATACTTCGTCAGAAATAACAAAAACAGAAGAGAAACGTCTGTTTCCATTTTTTATTTTACTCTCAACAATTTCACTGTAAAGAGATTTAATATTTCGTACACTTTCATTCGAATCCTAGAGCAAGGACAATATTTTTCAGTGAAATCATAACGATTTACCTATATTTTTCTATTTTCCTTCTTTTTCAATTTTTGAATATAGAAATTCTTTCTCGTTACAACTTACTTCTCTCCTCTCGCAGCGCGAAGTATGGAAAATTTCTGGTTTCGTGTGTTCCATTTGTAATTTTGATTATCTCCTATGATTATCATTATCTTATCGTTCACGACATTATTTTAGCTTTAAAACATTAGAAGTTCCTACCTTTCTGGTTACAATGTCTGAGATTGGGAGAAACGAGGCTGCAGGGTTGCAGGTAAGTGAAGAAAATAGGTGGAAGAAGAGTGAATGGAAGGTTGAGATCCATTCATAAGCACACCTGACTCCTGAATTTCGTCGTGAGAATAGCTTTCGAGAATTTTTCCAGACTCCTCTTATTCCTATCTTGCACGAAACTCTCCTTTTCTTGCGTTTCACTGTGCTGGAATAATACTTGTAGCTCTCTTCCTCGAGACTGACAAGGAAACACTTTTAAGAAAAAAGGTATTTTCGAGATATTTTTGAGTTTATAATTAAAAATTCACAGAAGTCGATTAAAATTTACACATCTACGTATGAAATGATGAATGACTTTGTTCCACCTCGTTGGATTCGTCTTAACATACACTATCATATTATGTATGAAAAAATATAGCTTTCCATTTAAAAAAATTAAACTGACTTTAAAATCTCCCCCACCGTACCCGGTACAAAAAAAATATTTATACCACATAATTTTCCCCCTCGTACCAAACAACTTTTGTTAAAACATTTTTTTCCCAACATCACTTCCTTAAAAGATATTTCGCTGCACTGAGATAAAACAGACACACTGTATATGTATATAACATATACAATATTAATATAAACAATTATCCCAAATTTTTCACCAGCACCCAAACCATAAGAAAAGCTTATAAACCGGTTGTTAACTGTTTATTGCATTAAAGTATTACAAATCTGACTACTTCTTCTTCCTCCTCTTACCCACACGAGATTGTTTCTTCTCACTCCTCTCCTCCTTCTCCTCAGAAACATCCACTCGAATAGTCGATTTCCTAATTTCTTCATGCTCCATCCTTTTCTTCGCCGACCACGGCCGAGCTGTCTTAAACTCCAAATCAATATTAAACTTCTTATCCCCATCGGCACACTTCTTCTTCACCCTGAACAAGAATATATTAGGATTCTCCTCCAAATCGATCGTTCTACCTCCGCTACCCGTCTCCAAATTATTACGGTTACTCTGCTCAGCACCGTTGTTCAAATCCTTAATACGCGGAAACAGAGTGACAACTCGATTCCCTGGAGCCAGTGTCCGATCACTTTCTTCGCAAATCTCTTCCTTCTGAACCGAAGGAAGAGAAGGATCTTCCATGCAATCACACGGAGGGTCGTACTCGGGCTTCGGAGATTCCTTCTGAGTCCTGATCACCAATCTGTTGTTGTTGATCACAGCTTCAATCTCCTTGTAAGGCAGGCCTCTCTCCTCGATCTCCGAACGAATCAGCTGAGGCCTCTCGAATTCTTCTTTCACCGGCAACGTGGGGCAACACGGAGGAGGATCTGAGAGCTTTCGTTTTACTGGTTTTGGTGGAGGTTTGCTGCAACATGCGCTTGTTGGACATTTTTCACGTGTTTTGCTGGAGAGATTGTTTAGTGGAGCGCAACAGGGTGAGCAAGGTGGTTTCATGGGAGGAGGAGGACATCCGCATTTGTGCGTTGCCAGTATCATCTTTGCGTCTCGGTGCAGTGGAGTCCATTAGAGGGAGAAGAGCGGCGGTGTTGACATGGTTGATGAAGGAATTTTTGGAATTAGGGATGTTTATGGATGCGTCATGGTGAGGTTAGGTGTTAGGCGTTGAAGTTTCGAGTGTTCTGAATTTGCTACGAGTAGTCGATTATTAATCTCGATCGTTCTTATCGATTAACCCTTTGAGGTATGAATAGTCCAATTAGTTTGCGCTCGTTTGACTACTGTGAGGCAGTACAGTTTAGTTTGCCTTTATTTCAATATTTCAGGGTATTATTAGTTATGAAATATTAAGTTTCGGTATAATATTAATGCATGAAAAATTGGTTTATCATCGTTTGTAACTTATCATTTATCATTGTACAAAGACCAAATTCTGGGTGGATGAAATCGTGAAACTGCCTTGAAGATGGCGAAAGACAGTAGAACAAAATAGCATATGTGGTTGAATAAAAATCTCTGTATAAATATTTAAACATCGTCTTTGAATTTTATCTAAAAAACGCTGCAAAATTTTCTTCCAATCCAATACTATAAAAAATTTATACTCTTATATAGGTTTCTTGTGTTATTCATCGTATTTTACTTGTATCAGTTACGCTAATTATATTTTTCTTGAAAAAAAAAAAGCGATACGAAAGTGTTTTCAACTTTGGCCGCAAAAGCTCGCTTGATAGTACGTTAATCTCGATCGTTCTCGTTAGTTACGAAAAACTCATTAACAGGTGTATTTCTGTACGATCTGAATATGCGTGTTAAAAGTATGCACTGTTCTGAATTTGCTACGAATAATCGACTATTAATCTCGATCATACTAATCAGTTCACAAGAACCCGTTAACCCCTCTCTTCACAACCAAATTTATTCGGGAAACGATAATTTCTAAATTTCAAGTTTCACCCATCAGACAATTTATACTTCTGAAATTGATGTAATTTTCTTGGTTCCGTTCATTAAAATTCGTTCAGAGATGTACGCTTGTCCACCAATGCCACCTGCACCATGTGCACCTGAGCCTCCGATTAGGAAACACGTTATCGAGCCTGGTTCGAGGTATATCAGAGAAATTGGTACAGCTATTATTGGGAATCAGTTGATAATTCGCATGGAGAGGGAGAAAGGGAAATCGAAGAAGTCCAAAGAGTGGGATCCACCGTGTGATTGTGACTTGGTGGTACAGAGGCCTACGAGCAAAGAGGGACCGAAAATATTGAAGGGTCCTGATAATAATCGAATTCTGTTTCGAGTGGAGGAAGATGCTGCGAAGAAGAATAACACTGATTGCATACCTCAGGGTATTAGTTATGAGGTATGTCGAGAGTTTAGTGCAAATAGGTATGCTCATGGAGGGAGAAGAAAATTAATTTAAGTTTGAAATTAATTTTGCGAAAATAAGGGTTCGAAGTTGTAGGGTCTCCCGAGAATTAAAATAAGTGTCATTCGCCTGGAAAATTTATTATCAGCGTGAAAATCGTAAATAATTTTTGAAAAATTTTGTTCACTTTTTTGGTTCTTTTTTGGATATACGTAGAAATGGAAAATATTAACACGGGGTTTAAATCTTACTTCCGCCATTGCAAAATAGGGAGGAAATAGGAATAGAAAAATGGAACAGTGGTGTTTGTTACATATCCTTTTTCGAGTTAAATGATTTTTGTTCTACTTAATTCCAAGGTTGGACAGTGCAAAGGAGGGCCAAACACGAACAATCAGTGCAGGTCTTTCACGATTTACCCGGTTCTGGAGGGTGCAGGAGCGGAGGAAGTGCACACGGATCGCGTCACCGAGGGAGACGAGAACGTGTTCATGTTGAAGGTGAAAAAGAGGCCTGACTCCTCTGATCAACCGAAGAGGAACATCGAACTCGAGCTGAGAACACCTAGGCCACCAACTCCTCCTCTGGAAGAATTGATAGCTATGCAACAGAAACAGGAGAGACACGTGACTTTAGTGGAGAAAGATTGCACACCGGAGGAGAAACCGAAGAAGAAGGAGGAGAAGAAGAAGAAGAAGAAGAAGAAGTGACTGGTGTTGGTTTTTAGTTCTCTTTTGAAATTACTTTGAAATTCTTATCAGATTCGAATATTGAAAATTAAAAGGTTGTAAGTGAAATGGAACAATGTTTATAGAGAAACCGATGCAACTTTATGTTATACCTGTAAAAAATGAAACTCCTGGAAATAAATATTTAAATAAGCGAAAATTTGAAGGAATAAACAGCTGCTCTGTGTTTATATATTAAAAGACTCTAAAAGTACCATTCGAAACTGATCCAGAAGCAGAATTTCTAAAAAAACATCCTTAGTAAAATCTCACTGTGGAACAAAATATTAGAAAACTCCAAAAATACCATTTAAAACTAATCCAAAAGTAAAATTTCTAAAAAATTACCTTCAGTAAAGTCTCACTGTAGAACAAAATATTAGAATACAGAAGTAGAATTTCTAAAAAGAAAAAAAAAAAACACTTTTAGTAAAATCTGACAGTAAACCAAAATATAAAAAAAACTCCAAAAATACCATTTAAAACTGATCACCTCATCTCACTTTACCAAAATCTCGCGCCACAACGAAATATAAAAAAATCCCAAAAACACCACTCAAAATTAAAAAATTTGTCAAACGAAGAATTTCCAAAAAAAGAAAAACGCTGAAAACGGTGGCAATATCACGCTTAGCATACTCAGTAAACCACCACCGCGACGAATTCGCAGGTACACCGACATTGTGACAACGAGCATTCACTAGAGTCGTTCAGAATCTCGTTCTGAATGAACCATCGTCCAGGGTTTGTCAATGAAGTTGCGTTCGCAAAACGCGAACAGAGAAACAGGTCTTGGACGCGTGAAAATTTCAAGCACGAGTCACCGAGCTCGTTCCTCATTCATCGAACGAGACAGGATCAGCCGTGGAAAATCGCTTCGTTACGGCCAGACGAGCCATCCTCTCTAAGAGTTTCTCTTCCTTTTGCTCGAAAGAGAAGACGACGGCTACGCAAGGCGTTCTTGAATGAGCGAACGTCGCGACGATTGATGACGCGACGCGCCTCTCTCTCTCCTGAGACCGAATTGTTACCACTTTAAAGGCGTCCTCGTAATTTCCACCAACTCCTTTCCTCGTTTTCCATTTCACACCTTACCGACGATCATCGCGATCATTGAGAAAGTTAGAAGGATCCTTTCGTCGTTCGCCATTCAGAAATCTCGTGTACAAGGGTTGCCGAAGGGATTTTACGAGTTTTCGCGTCGTTTGTCGGTGGCAATTACAAGATGTCCCGGTGAACAGGATTTCTTTTGTAAATTTCTATGACGATTCTTTTTTTTTTCTTATTTCTGAAGGAGGAGAATATTACTTTCGAGGTTCTTCTCGAGGTTTCTCTCCCCTTTTTTAATTTCTAGTGGAGAAGATTATTTTCGAGGTCCTTTTTGAGATTTCTTCATTTTTTTTTAAATTTCTGATCGAGAAGAATATTATTTTCCAGGTTTTTTTCCCTTTTCTTCTTATTTCTAACGGAGAAGAATATTAGATTCGAGATTCTTTCCAAGGTTTTTCGCCTTTTTTTAATTTTAATGGAGAAGAGTATTATTATTGAGGTTTCTTCCTCTTTTTTCTAATTTCTGAAGGAGAAGAATATTATTTTCAAAGTTTTTCACTATTTTTAACTTCAAACGAAGAAGAGCACTATTTCTGAGGACCTTCTTGGAGTTTCCTCCCTTTTTTTAATTTCCAACGGAGAAGACTATTATATTCGAGATTCTTCTTGAGGTTTCTTCCCTATTTCTATTTCTGACGGAAAAAAAACATTATCTTCTATAACTAGAAATTTCTAATATAATAGAACAATGTTACTTTCTGTAATCGAAAAATCCGATGGATATCGTGAAAGAGATTAACGAGAATATTAGATAACAGTAGCCACGACATATCTCTTTCTATACTTCATTTTAAATCAATAATTCTATAAATACCCTCTTCATTTTGATGACAACTTTATCTTCACCGATTATCACAGCTAACAAATAAATATGATGAACAAACAGGAGGATTATAAAACGACCGATTCCAGAGAATCCAAAATGGAGGATCTCCTATTTATCGAGTAGTACTCGAGCTTCTCAAGAAAGATAGCTGAAGAAGCGCAGAAGAATGAAGAAGAGAACCGTGGATTGTCGTAGAAGTTCATAAAGGTGTCGTTTCTCTCTGTGTGTGGTCGTCCGACGTGACAAAGACTCCGTGGCCAATAAATTAGGCTAGCCACGAAGAGGACGCGTTTCCCGATTTACGAAAAATAGCGTGACACGTATGTTCGCGGCGGTGGATGGAAAAGTAGACGTCTCTTCCAGCGAGAATCGAGCGTAAAGAAAAGTATGCGGTTGCTGGTTGAATGGGACGACAAGTGACCAAGATATTATACGTGGGACGAATCTCTTTTGAGAGAGGGAAAAGGATCTTCTCGAAGAGATCACGTCTTCGGGGCGAAAAGGCGTCGATAATTCAGGAGAAGGAAATATTGTGAGCTTGGAGCGGGGAATTTTCGCAGGATTTTATGTCCATGGGATTAGAATAGCATTTTTTTTGTATGGTTTATTATCTTCCATTTGCGTATTCTCATTTTTTGGGAATATAATTTTCGCAGGATTTTAGGTGAATAAAATTAAGGACAGAATTTTTTCACACGGTTTATTATCTTCTGTTTGTATATTTTTATTTCTTTTTATTTTTGGAAATGTGTAGTTAAACTTTTGTACGATTTTATGTTTGCAGAATTAGAACAGAATTTTTTCATATTGTTTATTAAGTATCTTCCATTTGAGTATTTTCATTTTCTTCATTTTTAAAAATTTTTCCAAATTGTAGTTAAATTTTTATACGTTTGTATATTTTAATTTTCTTCAGTTTTTGGAAACGTGTTATTAAATTTTTGTACGATTTCGTATATAAAGATTAAAATAGAATTTTTTCGTATGCTTTATTATCTTCTGTTTGCGTATTTTAATTTTCTTCATTTTTTAGAAAGGTAAATTTTCGCACGATTTCATGTGTGCAGGATTAACAAGAAATTGCAACGAATAATAAGAGAAGAAATGACGTCACATACCTGTACTAACACGGTATATATGACACCGTGAAGGTCTTCAAAGGATCGAGGAGTTACGCCTATAATCGTCCTTTGAAACGATCGTCGTTCGTGCCATTTTTCATCCAACGCAACGGTCCAGCCCTCCCACGGTATCCAAAGACTCCACATGTTACGCTGAAATATCGTCTTCATTCGGTGTCATCCATTGTCCACCGGCTTCTTTTATTTTTTTTCTTAATTCCACGACACCAAAAATGGGGCTTCGGTGGGCGGGTGGCCGTTCCCAGTGCCTAGAAAAAATAGAATAGTGAATGGAATCGATGTCGAGGTCCATTCAGACGTGCACCTGACTCCTCCTGACTTCTTCTTCTTCTTCGATCGTGAGAATCTCCTCGAAGATTTTCGACAATCGACGTCCCGTTCGAGGGTGAAAAATAAAAAAAAAAAAAACGAGGGAAATCTGGGCCTTTTTTTGCGTTTTTGGGAGCACTGCTCGAGTAGAAAAGTGGATGGAAGGTTGCGAGGGTAATTTGGTGAGGGAGATGATCGTGGAGGGTGGCCGAAATTTTGGTAGCTTCAGTAAGAATTTTTAGTGCCATTCGTTGACTTAATTTTCAAATTTTCAGTTCAAAAAATATGCAATTTAAGTTTGACATACGAAAATCCGAATATTCGGTGTATTAAAATCTTTGAAATGTACGAAATATTCGGTGTATCCGAGTATTCGAATTTTACGAAATATTCGGTGTATTCAAATCTTCCATATTTCAGGTACGAAATATTCGGTGAATTCGAGTATTCGAAACGTACGAAACATTCAACACAATCCGAAATTCGAACCCTTCAAATATCCAAATTATCCGAATAAAGAATTCGTATTCAAAATTACTCAAATTATACGAATACTTCAAAATTTCGTCTACTTCTAATTTTTAACTCTAAAGAAACTTCAAAGTGACCACAACAATTAGATAACCCACTATATATTGCATCTCTTACTACAGTATCACTCCCTCTGTTCAACAACAACAACAACAACAATAATAATCACCAGAAACCTTAAGCAACATCTGTGCTCCCTTCCATTACCAGAACAGTACCAGATTTATTCCCTCGTCCCTAAAATTAACGCTGAAACCTCCGCGCAAACAAACCAGCACGGACTACAGGTAATTATGCTGAAAGTGGACGTCGAGGAGTCAACCGTTAGCCGATTTCCGGCGAGAAGCTATTCAACGTGGAAAAATGGATCAATGGCCGAGCGTTAAAGTGTCCACGCCTAGAAAAGGGCGCGATAGACACCTGTCGAGTTGCACGGTAGGCAACCGAGATCCTTAAGGACATACCTGACCCAGGGTTAAATTACTTGAACGCTCTAAGAAAACCTTCGAACCTTGCACAAAGAGATCTCCGCGAGAACTTTTGTTTTTCCAAGCTTTAGAAACCGTACTGAAGAAGTAATTAACTTGAGTGTGGGATACATGTTGAGTTTCGGGACATTTCTTTGGTTTATTGGTGTAGAGCTTGTGGTTCTAAGGTTTGATGTACAGGGTGTCCTTTTTGTAACGAACATTTAATAATTTGTACTCGAGTGGAGAGTGAGAAGAGATGTTAATACGCTTTGAGACCTTTATTTAGGACTTTAATACGTGTAAAAATAACTGATTTTAGAGGTTAGGTTAGAGGTTCTTCTCCTTTTTCTATTTCTAAAGGAGAAGAATATTATTCTACGTAATCAGAAAATTTGAGGGATACTGTGAAAGAGATTAACGAGGAAATTACATAGCAATTACCACGACATATCTTCTTCTCTACTTTACTTCAAGTGAACAAAAGAGATTGTGTCCCATTCGATGAAGAAATTACTTCAATAAATCTAAAAATGTTCTCTTCATCTTCAGCGATCGTCAAAAATAGCAGATCAATCTTACAAACAAACAAGAAAATTATGAAACGACCGATTCCAGAGGATCCAAAATGGAGGATCTCCTATTTATCGAGTAGTACTCAAGCTTCTCAAGAAAGTTATCTAAAGAAGCGCAGAAGAATGAAGAAGAGAACCGTGGATTGTCGTGGAAGTTCATAAAGGTGTCGTTTCTCTTTGTGTGTGGTCGTTCAACGTGACAAAGACTCCGTGGCCAATAAATTAGGCTAGCCACGAAGAGGACACGTTTCCCGATTTAGGAAAAATAGCGTGACTCGTATGTTCGCGGCGGTAGATGGAAAAGTAGACGTCTCTTCCAGCGAGAATCGAGCGTAAAGAAAAGTCTGCGGTTGCTGGCTGAATGGGACGACGAGTGACCAAGATATTATACGTGGGACGAATCTCTTTTGAGAGAGGGAAAAGGATCTTCTCGAAGAGATCACGTCTTCGGGGCGAAAAGGAGTGGGAAATTTTCGCAGGGATAAATGGGAGAGCTACTGAAGTGTATCTGCCTCTTTTAATCTCTGTCTGAGTGTTATGGAAAAAAAGAACGGACTTCAAGTTGGTCATTGAAATTGACTTTTTTCTTAAATTTCGTTTTACGAAGAAGTATAGCGATGTTCGTAAGTTTAGGGGATTGAATAGTGAAGCAAACTTTAAGTCATTAGAAAATTATGAAAAAAGTTATTCTGTCTTTCTCAAGATTAATAAACGATACTAATTTTGATGAAAAAATGTGACGTTCGTAAGTTTGGGGCGTTGAATAGCGAAGCAAACTTTAAGTGATTAGAAAATTATGAAAATTCTAAAAAAAGAGTTAGTCTGTCTTTTTCAGAATTAGTAAATGGTACTAATTTCGATGAAAAAATGTTTCTTAAATCACATAGTAATTTTGTACAAACACAAAGTGTGTCTTAATATTTATGAATTATGTATAAAGCAGGTATTACCACGTGTAGTATTCAAGTATCGAATTAACTATAAAATTTTAAGTAGAAAGTTTCAACAAAAATCTTCGCTGCATTTTAAAAGTCGAATTGATTACTACAAAGCAAACTCACGTCTCGCTATTGGCATATCTCGTTAACAAGTGTTATTACCATATTGTTACTGCATCCTTCAAAAACAATTCTCCAAAGCATCGTTACAATCTATCTAAAAAAAAAAAGCAATAAATCAACCGAGTCGCTGATTGCACCTACATTAACGACCTCAAACGCTACAGTAATCACTCTCTAACAAAGGAATTTCCAGAAAATTCCGTCCTACCGAAACCAAATTCTCCTCTGCGTAACCTGAGGAGTATTCACACCGTAAGGTTCCCCTAATTTCCATACTGGCACAATAATTACCCCACCATAACCACCCTTCTTGAAACCCAACGAAAAGTTCTCTTATACCTGAGAGGGTGCAATCGAAATGTCTCGAATAGGTCAGAAAATTCGCACGTCCCTCGTCTCTATTTTTCCCAGAGCTCGTTAATAACGTTAATCGTGGACGTTAGTCGAAACGTGGATGAATAAATCCACGTATGGGGCAGGTAGCTTTCAGAATCTCTCTCTCTGAGGGTGGTCCGTTTCGTTTTGGAACCGCAATCGTGCATCGTCGACGCGTATATATAACGTAATATCGTTGGAAAATATATATTATTATATCTGGTGACACAGATGCGTCGCCACAGGGACACAGTAGACTGTGTCTTTATATTGTGGTTACCGCGGCCATTGTGCCGGATCTTCAGGAGAGAAGTGACTGGACGACCCCTGGAGAGCCGAATCTCTGCGGGGTGTTTTGCTCACTTTGCTTTCCCCTGTCAACAGCCGACCGTAATCTGTACACGCTTCCTGCCACGGGGTTTCCCCTCTTCCGGGTCCATTACCTGGGACAGATACGGAAGCATCGGTATGAATGAGAATCTGGGACAAATTGAACTGTTTCTTTTTCTTCTGAGGGAAGTTTTGTGAGGTTTGTTAGGGAGATGTGGATGAAGAAATTTTTGGGGAGTAAGCGTTGGAGATTTGAGATCTGGTGAGGTATTAAATGGTGGAAGATTAATTTAAATTAGAAAATTTTTGGGAGATAAGCATTGGAGATTTGAGATCCGGTGAAGTATTAAACAGTGGAAGGTTAATTTAAATTTATTTAAAAAATTTTTAAATTTACTTTTAAAGTTTAAAAGTTTATTTTTAATATTTGAAAATTTATTAAAAATTTATCAAATTTATTAAATGTATCGTCTTTTCCGCATCGTTCCATCAACTTCCTCATCTTTCATTTATTTTCCAATCAAGCATTTACCCTACATCGACGTTTTTCGTTTGACAAATGTGTCAAAATTCACGATTCGTCTCAGACAAAACCTCATTTTCATCGTCGTCGCGAATCTTCTATCATGTTGGAACCGCTGATAGTGTTAACAGTGTTGAATTGCTTCTTCATGTTCAGCTCGACGGTGACAACATGCGCTTTATGGTAATTCTTATATTTTTATGTAATAGACAAACGTGTTACTTTTGATATGAATTAATTGATACTCGACAGGTGGCAATACCGAAGTCATCGTTGCTGTTTCAAGAAAAATACACAGAGTACCAAGCATAATTCGACGAAATCGAAGAGTAACAGCGTGTTGAAGAAATCTGGAAATTCGAGACATGAACACTCTGGCCATTCTGTCGAACGTAGCAAGTCTAATTCGATTGTGAACCGGGACAATAAGAGTAGAAGGAGTTCGAACAAGAAGTCGAGATCGAACGCGAAGTATCTGGTGCAGAATAGGGCTCTGAGTGACGAACGATTGTCCTCGATGTAATAAAGATGGATTTTTTTCAGTTTCTATAGAATTGTTGACACGTTTTGTGTCGCGTGAGGGAAATTGAAGTTTGCTAGAAGATTGGAGTGTCAAGAATTGAATTCATATCGATATTTTTCTATAATTAAGTACTTTAAGTGATTTTTTAACTCTATTTCGATAATCTGGTGAAATTTGTGATTCCTCTGTGGCACGAAATGTGTTAAAACGTGGGAATGTGGGTGTAGTGTGATGAAAAGTGATCGAGAGAATCTATAGACGCCAAAATTCTCAAAAAATTTCAAAATATTCTGAGAATTCTCCAGGAATTTTCAAAAAATTCTGAAAGAGTGCTAAAAAATTCGCAGAAAATTCCGAAAGAGAGC